CATGGGAGAAGCTGTTTTTTTTAATCTGCTGGTCCTCCTTTTTATGCTCTTGTATCTTCTTCTAGAAAACAGCAAGATAAAGAGGCTTCACAGCGGGCCTGTACTCTTTAAACTTCAGTATAATACAGGAATGTCAAACACAACTACAGCCAGACCAATTCAGTTTCATGTACTGTAACCAGTGAAACTCTCCTTTTGTGTCAGTGTAACGAAGTTTAACTACACATTTAAAACCTGAGATGTCTTAGTAAAAGAACAAGAAGTTCAAAATTTCAAAACAACTGCAAAACAAAAAAAAGTTGCCAAAAAGGTTCTGGTAGCTTATCACCAGTTTTTAACAATGTTTTTGTTAAATGTTATTATCCTTTGTCTTTTTGAGCACCATGCCCACCCCAAAGTTTCTCATTCACTTGTTTTTCCTAATGGAGTAATGATGTAGTATGAATGTCGCAAATGCTTTAAAACATTTTAAACCAGAAAATACAGTTAAAAGTCCAAAATTTATGCCCTCATTCACATTTCCCATAACCATGCCGGATGGCGTCTTTCTGGTCCCCGGGCCTTATGTTTGACGTAGCGGGTCTTGTTTTCCCGGACTTGAGGATTGCTCTGTCTGTCCGACACTCCCTGCACGCACCGCAGGGTTTGTTTTGGTCCTGCGGGGCTGTGTCACAGCCATCCAATCAGAGACGAGAAGGGGCGTGTCATGTGACCCCTCCCTCCCCTCCTTGTATGCCCCTCCGAGATGCTGCGCGCGCGTCTCTCAGTACGATTCATCCCCTGCGCGCGGTCAGACGCATCTAGCTTGTCTCCATCATTTGCGAAGCTCGTACGATTATTTTCATCGTTACTGTTATTATTATTGTTAAAAAAGAGTTAAAGAGCAGAAACCTGCCGCACTGCGGGCTCCACACCGAGAGAAACAACTGAAATATATCCGTCTGCGACACACGCACCGGAGGGGGCCCGCGTTCGCCTACTTCCTGTCTTACTGTCGAAAAAATGAAAACCAAATTCATCAACGGGGTTTCTTCTTCCCCCTCCATGTCGCTGGGCCTGCTGGTGACCGAGAACGCCCTGCAGGTCCAGCCAGACACCGAGGAGGACTGTGACGAGCTGGTCTGCTCCGACCAGCCCGACCCAGACACCCGGAGGAGGGCTTATCTGTGGTGCAGGGAGTTCCTGCACGGAGCCTGGAAGAGCCTGGCCGAGGACCTGTTCCAGATCACCATCATCAGGTGCGGATGATCCGTTATATGAACCGTTATTTCTGTTTATTTTCACCATCCGATGTGTTTCTCTGTAAACCGTATGATGAGATCATCTCACAAGAGCCATGTGACCCAGAGTGGTCGAAACAGCAGAGCTCATTTCATGTTCCTGTGTCAGAATCTGCTGCTATAGTGCAGTCTGTATGTATGCAGTCTGTTTTTTTAGTTGATAGCAGGTGGGAGCCTACCTCCCACTCAAAAGAAAAAAAATCAAATTGGTCTACACTCAGAAAAGAGAAAAACTCATTTCAGTCATTACTGTTAAACCTCTCTGGCATCAGTGTTGTGATTATTTAATGAGTTTTATTGCAGATAGTTTTTACTTAAAAGTGTACAAATGTTTAAACTTAAAAAAGTCCGCCTTTTTTTAAGCAGCACTTTTCTTTGGTAGAAGTTTTGTAAGCAAGAACTTTTAACAGCGATGAGAAATATAATGAAAACATTAAAAAGGAAACATTAATGGACCCAGGACTGAGCCTTGTGGAGCACCGTGGTTAGAGAAGCAGTGGTAAAAGAGATCGTGCTCACTCTAAAAAAAAAGAAAATGCTGACTTTAAATCATTTAATTACATGTAAAACTGTAGTTTTGTTACATGAAGTGTAAAATGTTAGATTTAATGGAGGTTTCTTCCTGTTAAAAGGGAGTTTTTCCTTCCCACTGTCGCCAAAGTGCTGCTCATAGGGGGTCATATGATTGTTGGGTTTTTCT